ATCCGGCGCCCCGACCAGGACTAGAACCTGGTGTGCCGGCGCCGCAAGGCGGAGGATTAGCCTATTGAGCCACGGCACCGGCCTCAAAATATATTTTTAAAAACACTATGAAATGCTGCTGTAATGTGCTTTATAATGATCAGGAATAAAGCAGAAGGAGAAAGAAACTAAAAGGAGAAGAACAAACTAAAGCCAAAGCAAACTGTGACAGGACACAGCAAAGAACAGAACAGAAATCAATTAAATCAGAACTTGGCTCTTTGGAAAGATGGACAAGGTTGACAAACCTTTAGTTAGGTGGATCAAGAAAAAAAGAGAGGAAAGACTGAAATTACTAATACCTAGAATGAAAAAAGTGTGACTTCTCTTACAGTGATGAAGGGGATTATAAAAGAAGGTATGTGAGCATCTCATACCGCTGCCTTCTGCTGGCTATTGTTTTGCTATTTGGTTCCCCTGAGTCAGGCACAGTTACTGATTTTAAGGAGTGCTTGTGGCACAGACAAAATATTGTGAGGAAGGGCACTCAGGTATCCATGGACTAACATGATGATTCCTGTAAACAGTCACTGCCTATAAAATTCCTCTTTCTGGCAATATCAGGGGGCATTGAACAGAAAGAGCAGTGAGTCCCATTGTTCTGCTCCTAAAGGTGCTTCCTGCCCCAAACAGCTTTACTCTGTACTTCTATGGGGCATCACCAGGGAACCTAGGTAAGAATGCTTCCACAAGGGCATCCCATATCAGCGCCGGTTCTAGTCCCAGCTGCTCCTCTTCCAATCCAGCTCTCTGCTGTGGCCTGAGAAAGCAATACAGGATGGCCCAAGTGCTTGGGCCCCTGCACCTGCATGGGAGACTGGAAGGAAGCACCTGGCTCCTGGCTTCGGATCAGCCCAGCTCCAGCCATTGTGGCCATTTGGGGGCTGAACCAGCAGAAGACCGACCGACCTCTCTGTCTGTACCTCTCTCTGTCTGTAACTCTACCTCTCAAATAAATAAAATAAATCTTAAAAAAAGAATGCTTCCACAAACATTTTAAGCTCCCCTTCCATATTTTTTCTTTTTTATTTATTTTTTTTAAGATTTATTTATTTGAAAGTCAGAGTTACATAGAGAGAAGAGAGGCACAGAGAGAGAGAGAGAGAGAGAGAGAGGACTTCCATCCACTGGTTCACCCCCCAGATGGCCGCAACAGCCAGAACTGTGCTGATCCAAAGCCAGGAGCCAGGAGCTTCTTCTGGGTCTCCCATGTGGGTGCAGGGGCCCAAGGACTTGGGCCATCTTCTACTGCTTTCCCAGGCCATAGCAAAAAGCTGGATCGGAAGTGGAGCCGCCAGGTCTCAAACCGGCGCCCATATGGGATGCTGGTGCTCTAGGCCAGGGCATTAACCCGCTGCACCACAGTGCCAGCCCCTCCCTCCATATTTTTGATCCCTCATTTCTGTATTTATTTTTTAAAACAAGCAATGATTTTTAGTACATTTACAGAGTTATGCAGCTATTACTACAATCCACTTGTAGAATGTTTCTGTCACCCCAAAACATTGCTCATGTCTTTTTCTTGCATTTATTTTTATTTTTATGGGTGCTGTGTATTGCCTTTCTCTCTGTCATTTCTTTCTCTACTAGCTCCTCTTCCACATTGAAAAGCAAAGGAAAGCAATGGATATTACAGAAATTGCTTACTGTAAGCTAGCCTCTGGAGCTCGTATGGGATGCTGGCACTGCAGGTGGCAGCTTTACCCACTATTACAGAGCGCCAGCTCCTCTGCCCCATTTCTTGATGACTGTACTTCCCTGTCTCTTCCCCTCATCTGCCCCACCTGAGCCCACCCTTTTCCTTTACTCTAGAAGAAGTTACCATTGACTTCCCAATTAAGTAGCTGGACAATAAGTTGACAGTTTAGTTCTTTAGTTCCTGGTTTCAATGGAGCTCTACCAAGTGCCAGACACTGTATCAGATGCTTAGAATAAAATAGTGAGGAGTTAACAGTACAGTGGGGACAGACTCTGGAAGAGGTGGTGATAATAGTGGCAGAAGGCTTTCTTGTAGAGGTGAGAGGCAGTGTACTGCATGTGGTATGTACTACTGTGTGAAAAGGGTCAGAAGGAGGCAGCAGAAGGGCAAGTCCAGAGGTAAGCGGAAGCCAATTCATGGAGTTTTGCAGACCAAACTTTGAGACTGGACTCTGGGCACAGCTTAGCTGTGATCAAAGTGGCAGTTGTGGTTGGAGGTCTCACCTCAACGCTTCACTGGCAAAGGATCCTCTTCAGATGCACTCGAGTGGCTGTTGGCAAGATTGGCTGTCTCTCAGGGCCTTCATTCCCGTGTGGCACATGGCCAGAAGCCATCCACATTTCCTGGCCATGAAGGCCTGTCCATAGGGCAGCTCGAAGCATGGCAGCCTGCTTCCTCAGGCAAGCAAGCGAGGAAAGCCAGAGAGGGCAAGCAGAATGGAAGTCAGAGTCTTTTCGGAACCTAATCCTGAAAGTGACACCCCATCACTTCTGCACTTAGAAGCAGGTTGCAAGTTCCAGCTCACACTTGGCAGAAATTATACAAGGTCATGAATACTAGGAAATGGGAATCCTTGGGCATCAGCTTAGAAGCTGCCAGCACACATGGCTAACGACACAAAGCCAAGGAATTCAGACTGAGGTCCTGTTCCTACAAAGTGCATGCTCTTGACCACATTATATAGTAGAATTCCCTCCTCTCTCCCCTCTGCTCTGTGTATAACTTGTCTTAGTATGCTGCCCACACTTGGTAGGGATTTCATGGTTTTTCTAGCTAGAAAGGACCTGAGTCAGATGCCTGGGACTCCAACTTCTTTCCAAGAGATCACAAATGCTGATGTACCTTCAGTCTGGGGAAGTAAAGAGAATGATCAAGGCTAGGAGAGTTTGAGGGAAATGGCAGTAGTGGCAATGGTCAAGAACTGGCAGGCCTATCTAAAGGGTGTGGCCATTTCTCCCGCCCAGCCTGTCGTCACCCAGTGGGATTGTGTGCCTGTCATGACCAGGGTGTCTCATTCTCACAAGCCAAGTTGGAAATTGAACTTTTATGTGAAATTATCTAGCTTTAATTGTTAGCAACTAATTTAAAAATGTGTTTAGTACTATGTGAATCAACACTGTAGATGAATCCAAACACACCTGTTACTCCCTTGCAGCCACCTATTGGTGACACCTCTGCCCTGCTCATCATCTTTGAAGGATACACGGTGTGTGTCTGAGAAATGCCCCAATGTTGTTCTAGGGGTAGGAGAGAAGAGCTGGCCCTTTCTCTGCCCTGCTCGCTTAACTTGGGGCCAGAATTTCAGTTTTATTCAACAGACTGGATTCAATATTTGCCAAAATCATGCTTATAATATGGAGCTGGCATAGAAAAATAAGATGCTTTGGTAGCTATTTTTATTTCAGTGCACATTAATTAGTACTGTCCTCCTATTAGTGAATCATGTAGCATTATTTTTCACACCTCCCCTGTCCCTGAAGAGAAGTGGTCAGTGCTGTCCTCACTGACCTCTTGCAAAATTTTGTTTTTTAGCGGAAGTTATGGAAGAATATTTCAAAAGCTGGTCAGATACACAACAGACCACTTTATGACATAGCCAGTGTATCTGGGCTTTGAGACTGTGGTACTTGATCATTTTTGTAGATAAAATTCAACTAATAACAGAGTAAGCCTTGTAGACTATTAAGCTGGATGAATTGGGTGGCTTTAGTGTTGCTGTATTGGTTTTCCCATATGCAGACAGCATGAAGGGCTGATCAGTTGGATGAAATGAGGAACTAGTATGTCCTAAAAAACTCAAAAAAAAAATCAGCATAATCCAAAGCCTGAGAAAGGATGACTTTAGAAACTTGTCTTATTTGAATATTTTACCTATAATGTATTGATTTCACTAGTTCCAGGAAAATCTAGTCTAAACAAAAACATCCAACATAGAAAGCCAGTGATAAAGGTGCTAACTTGAGGGGTTTTAAAAATCAGCAATAATGATAGCATATATATTTATATGTATATACATGTATATGGAACAGTATGTTTTGACATATGCGTACATTGTGGTATGATTATTTCAAACTAATTAACACCTGACACCTCACATACTTATCTTTTTGTAGTGATGACATGTAAAATCTACTCTTTCAGAAATTTTGAAATATATGTTTTTAAAATTAATTTTATTTGAAAGGCAGATAGAAATCTTCTATCCAGTTGTTCACTCCCCAAATGCCTGCAATGGGAGGAGCTGGGAACTCAGTCTAGGTCTCTTACATGGGTGGCAGGGACCCAAGTATTTGAGCCATTCCTGCCTCACAGGGTAAGAATTATCAGGAAGCTGAAATTGGGAGCAAAGCTGGGTCTTGAACGCAGGGACTCACATATGGGAAGCGGGTGTTCCAAGTGGTATTTCAATTGCTGTGTGCCTGCTCCAATATTTTATTATTAACCATGGTCATTGCACTTGGACTAGATCTTGAAAACTTACTCCTGCTGTCTAACTGAAACTTTGTCCCCTTTGATCAACATCTCCCAGGTGGTAAGTTTTGACTTGCAAATTTCCCATTCCATTGCAATGAAAGGGAAAGAATTACTAGGATCTTCAAAAATTGAAAAGAAAAATGTCAATGAATAAAAAGAGCAATTTTTATACCCATACTTCAGTTTGTTAAGATTAGGTTGGAAAAAGTTGCTGAAATTTGCATTGTGTTGTACACAAAAGAAAATTGGACATGGTAAATATAAAAGTAAGTCAAGAATTGGCCATTAACAATTCTATGTAGCTTGGTATGCACTTAAATTTTGGTGTTATCAGTCTTGCCCTCATAATGCATGGAAATTAAGTTTATAAACACTTGTATATAATACAGTGTATTCCATTTAAGACAGCTGAGACACAAAGAGTGTAAACCTACAGATTCGTCCTTTCTCCAGCATTCCCCCAAAGCATAAAAAACTGTCCTCTGAATTGTTGGATGTGCCATTTCAGTGATTGAGGGAGGACCCCTGGACCACAACTACCGATTGAAGCAGTTCCATTTTCACTGGGGAGCCATTGATGCTTGGGGATCTGAGCACACAGTGGACAGCAAATGCTACCCTGCAGAGGTATGATGGTAAATTTAGGATGAGCCACACCTTTGGAGAAGTGGGGATAGTTCTGAGGTTTCTAGTTCTAAGAAAGTACCTGGAAGAATTGGGTATTTTTCATAAATGCTAAAAAGCTCACTGATGAGCATATTTGATTATTCCTGGCTTAAACATGTCAAAGTAATAACTTTCTGCATCTTGATCGATATAGCTGAAATGAACCTTAATATCCTAATTCCAGAATTCTAAGCTAGACTAAAATTATAGCCTAGCAGTGGTGAGGAATGCCCAGACTGTGGGCCATATAAGGACTGCAATATCACTGATATGGCCCTGCCAAGGTAACTGCAGGCAGGACTTGAAGTTCAACAGATCTATAGCAGGCTCATTTTTAAGTTGATAATTCTGTATGGCCTGCAAATGATGTTAGAAATAGCCAAATGGCCCTTGGCAGAAAAAAGTTTCTCCAAGCCTGGAAAGTAATAACAGGCAACAGTACAGAGGCACAAGGTTGCATTAATCCAAGTGAGAAATAATAGAAACAGAGAGAAAGAACAAGATTTATCAAGCCTTTCTGAAATAAAAGCAACAGGATTTGGAAGTAGATTCCCTTCAGGAGAGGTGAAGGTAAAGTTAACAATGACCTTGAGGTGTCTCATTTGAGAGGCCAGATGATCATGCATTCATGAATGATGGATGAGGAATGATTTATAGGGAAATAAAAGATGAGCCTAAGGAAATAGAATTTTTTGTTACAACTTTTCTCCTAATTTATTTTAAGTGTTATGTTTCAAATGAAATATTTTAAATGGTTGTCCCTCCAAGAAGAAATTTGTCTTCAACGCCTGTCTAATTTCCATAGGGGGAGTCATATTCTCTCCTTTAGATGCAAATGAATTTTAGAAATTAGTATTTCATGCAAATCAGCATGTGAACAGAGATATGCTGAAAGGTTACCCTGCTCTATGACTTCTCTTTTACTTTTCTCCCCAAGTAAATTCCTCTATTTCAAAGTAATAGTAATTGATGTTCTTTCTTAAATGACCCACTGTTCTTTATTTGTCATATGCTTTCCTCAGTGGCTTTATTTTGAGTGAGGAAACATGTTTATCATAGGATGAAGAAAGCTGTCATTTTGTCTGGAAGCGATCCTGTAAGCCAGGTGACAAACCCTCTTTTAATGGTGTTTCAGCTGCACTTGGTGCATTGGAATGCAGTCAAATTTGAAAGCTTTGAGGATGCAGCAGTGGAAGAAAATGGTTTGGCTGTGATTGGAGTGTTTTTGAAGGTAAAAAAAAACTTCACAACTTTAAATGTGTTGCATTCTAGAATAAAGATAGAATGTTACAATATTGTTTTTTACTTTCAGAATATTGGGACAAATACACTGATAAAAATAAACAGTGGGGTAGGGGACAGGTGTTGTGGCACAGTGGGTTAAGTCTTCACTTGGGACAGCCACATCCCATATCTGAGTACCTGGTTCCTGGGTTTGTATCTCACCTCGCCAGTCCAGCTTCCTGTTGGTGTCCATCCTGGGAGGCAGCAGATCATGACTTAATTACTTGGGTACCTGTCACCCACCTGGGAGACCCAGATTGAGTTCTAGGCTACTGGCTACTGGCTCCAACCTGGCCAAATTCTGGCTGTTATAAGCATTTGGGGAGTAAACTAGCAGATGAAAAAAAAATCTCTCTCTCTCTCTCTCTCTCTCTCTGGCTCTGTCTTTCAAATAAATAAGAATATATACAAGAGTATTACGAATATATGTCAAACAGTATAAAAAATACACAGTCCAATAGAGTACCCACAAACCACCAGTGGCAATTGAGCTCTTGATATGTGGCTAGTACAAATGTTGAACAAGTTTTTATTTTATTTAAATTACAATGTAAGAACTGATACTTTAAAGGAGCAGAAAGCACCTTTCTCTACAGGCATATTGACACTGTCAGCAAACAACCTGCTCATTTGTTTTGTGTCTAATTTAATGCAGTGATATCTGTAACATTCTCAATTACTGGGTTCATTGGGGTTTCAGTCCTGTGGTTTGATTTTATGTAATCACCAGGTGGTTAATTTTAATTCACATTCTGCTTCACTTTCTACATTGAAATATCCATTGTTTTAAATTATTTTTCTTTGTTCTTTAGTTAGGCAAACATCATAAAGAACTACAGAAGTTGGTGGAGACTTTTCCATCAATTAAGCATAAGGTAATTTTTTCCCTCAGTCACTTGAAATTCAGTTTACGCACCCATCCCAGAGTGGAGGCATTAGCAAGGCCCTCTGGCGGAGTGTAGTGGACTGCGTGTGCCCAGCTTCTCCTGGAATGGGGAGCCTCGTCGTTTACGGTGCCCTGGGTCACTGAGGGGCAGAAGTGGGTGTGCTGATGGGCACTGGACTTTCTGTGTTTGCTGCCCTGCTGCCAAGGACTGGGGACTGGGGAACCTGCTGTGAAACCTTGTGGAAACGTTCAGAGCAGCCCCTTTTCTCTGGCTCCCCCCCGCAGTGCTGCAGCAAGGCGACTGGTCTGGCTGTGAAGAACACTTACCCATGGATACCTTTGTGCAGGCCCCACACCCACGGTGAATCCTTCAGGATCCAGAAGTCCATATGTTCTCGCTCTCTCCCTCTCCTCCTCCCTCCTCCCTCTGTCCTCCCTGCCTCCCTCCCTTCCCTTGCACCCCTCAGTCCAATCTCCTGCTCCTCCTGATTGCATTGCATTGCAGAAGGAGAGTTCTCAGGTAGCCTCTCAGCTGCCTTGTTTGTGCACCAGCCACTCCCTGAGCCGCCTATGATAGCCAGGACCACCTGCTGTAAACTGACTAGAAGGGAGGGCCAACTGGTTTTGACTGTTTTCTCCCTGGGGGTATGAGAAAGATGCAGTTAGCTGCAGAAATGAAGCCTGGACAGTGATTCTTTGGGAAGCTGCCCAGAGTACCCGGCACTCTCCCAGGCCACTGCTGGTCCCCAGACACCCCTGACCACCTGGCTTCGTCATTCTTGAGTGGTTCTCACCTCTAAGGCTCTGTGACCTGTTCTCTTGGCCAGGACACCCTTGTGGAATTTGGGTCTTTCGACCCTTCCTGCCTGATGCCCACCTGCCCAGATTACTGGACCTACTCTGGGTCTCTGACTACACCACCCCTCTCCGAGTCTGTCACCTGGATCATTAAGAAGCAGCCAGTGGAAGTGGATCATGATCAGGTATGTTCTCTTCAAATTTTCCATCTGAGGACATCTTTGAGGGCCCCTGTAAAACAAGGCCGGTCTTAGTCTCTGGCATCTGTTTTAGCTTCTTGTGGTACTTACACACTTTCATTAAAATGTGCTAACATCTTATCTTGGTTTGCACATGAGTTTGGAGATTCTTCCAGTTAGCTAGAGTGTAGTTAAAACATACGACATAGGTTTTTACTTCTATATTTGTGGCCTATACATTTATTCTCCTATTATCCTTCAAATTAAAAATTGACCTAACAATGAAAAGTAAATAAATAAAATAAATCATGAGGTCAGTGGCCCATATAAGAACTTTGCAAATAAAATTTCAACACAGAAAATTCAGTCAGAAAAAAAGTTACTTATTATCTATAATCCTAGTCACTTATAATCTTATCACATAGTATCAATCATTGGGTAAATCCTCCTTGTCTTTTATGTATACAGATATAAATAAGTCTTTCTTTTTGTCTTTTGTCTGTATAAGTATACATAATTTTGGGGTAGGCACTATGTTGCAGTGAGTTAACTCATCACTTGGGATGCTGTGTCCCATGTCCCAGAGCCTGGGGATCAAGTTCTGCCTCTGCTTCCTGTCCAGCTTCTTGCTAATGCATACCCTGAGACACAGCAGGTGATGGCTCAAGTGCTTGGGTCCCTGCCACCCACCTGGAAGACCCAAATGGAATTCCTGGCTCCGGGCCTCGGCCTGACCCGCTTACCGCTGCTGCAGGCATTTGGGGAGTGAACCACTGGACAGAAGCCCTCCTGCTCTAGCTCTCCTGCTGTTGCTCTGAACAAGATAGAATCATTTTGTGCATCCACTTTGCTGGTGTTTTAACTCAGTGATGTGTAGGACATTCCATAGATAATAATCACTATCTTCAATGTCACTTTTTAAAATTGTATTTATTTGAGAGAAAAAAGGCAGAGAAAGAGACAGACAGAAGGAGAGATTTCCCATCTGCTGGTTCACTCACCCAAATGCCTGCAATGGCTGGGGCTGGGGCTGGGGCTGGTCTGGGCCAAAACTGGGAGCCAGGAACTCAACATAGGTCTCCTGTGTGGATGGCAGGGAACCAAGTAAAAGCCATCACTGCTGCCTCCCAAGTTGTGTATTAGCAGGCAGGTGGAATTAGGAGTGGAACTAGGACCTGAACCCAGGCACTGTGATATAGGATATGGGTGTACCAAGTCATGTCTTAACCACAGTACTAAACACCCACACCCAATATCATGTTTAATGGAAACTACTTGTACATTTTAAAGATCTAATGTCATTTATTATTGACACTTTGGCTATTTCTAATTCTTTACAATTAGCTGAATAAAAATATACAACTGCATGTACAGCTTCCTAATTAATGAGGGCATATGTGTAATTTGAAAATAGCCCTGGCTCTTCAGCTCTGCTTGGGCTGAAGTCTTTGTTGCAAAGAAATCTTCCGTGGTTGCCCACTGTGCCCCAGGCTATCCTCTCTGTAGCTTCAGGGAGCTGGATTGACTAATGAGAAATGTCATGAATGAATTTTCCAACTTAAAGTAAAATGTTTCAAAATATAGTTACTCAGAAAGCTGAGAGGCTATTTTTTAAAGATTTATTTTATTTATTTGAAAGTTAGAGTTACACAGAAAGAGAAAGAGAGGCAGAGAGAGAGAGAGAGAGGTCTTCCATTCGCTGGTTCACTCCCCGATTAGCCGCAATGGCTGGAGCTGGGTCAATCCGAAGCCAGGAGCCAGGAGCTTCCTCCTGGTCTCCCATGTGGGTACAGGGGCCCAAGGACTTGGACCATCTTTTACTGCTTTCCCAGGCCACAGCAGAGAGCTGGATCAGAAGTGGAGCAGCCGGGACTTGAACCAGCGCCCATATGGGATGTTGGCACTGCAGGTGGCGGCTATGCCACAGCGCTGGCCCCTGAGAGGCCAGCCCTTGATATTTGAGGTTGCTGCTTTGACTGAGCTATACTGTCCAGTACGCTAGACGACAGCTACATGTAACCATTTAAATAAACTAATTAAAATAAACCAAATTAGAAATTCAGTTCCTCAGTGCTGGCTACATTTCAAGTGCTCAGTAGCTATATGTGGCTTGTGACCACTATAATGGACCATGCAGAGGACAATGCCATCATTGCAGAAAGTTCTGTTGGAGAGCTCCAGTATGAAGCATCCTACTGCCAGTTAAGATATCTACATGCATGGCTTTGCCATTACCCGATGTCGTGAATAATCAATGATGCATTTCTGGGGTGTGCATTTGGGGAGTGCTTAAGATGCTGTTTGGGGCCAGCGCTGTGGCACAGTGGGTTAATGCCCTGGCCTGAAGCGCCGGCATCCCATATGGGCGCCAGTTCGAGACTTGGCTGCTCCACTTCCGATCCAGCTCTCTGCTATGGCCTGGGAAAGCAGAAGAATATGGCCCAAGTCCTTGGGCCCCTGCACCCATGTGGGAGACCCGGAAGAAGCTCCTGGCTCCTGGCTTCAGATCGGCACAGCTCCGGCCGTTGAGGCCAATTGATTAATGAACCATCGGATGGAAGACCTCTCTCTCTGCCTCTCTTCTCTGTGTAATTCTGACTTTCAAATAAATAAATAAATCTTTTAAAAAAAAAAAGATGCTGTTTAAAATGTCTGCATCTTATATTAGGCTGCCTGGGTTAAGCCCCAGTTCTGCTTCCCATTCCAGGTTCCTGCTAACACACACTCTGGGAGATAGTAGATAATGGCTCAAGTACTTGGGTCTTTTCCACCAATATGGGAGGCCTGGTTCAGTTCCAGACTCCTGGCTTGGGCTTGGCCCAGCCCCAACTGTTAAAGGCATTTGGGGAGTGAACCAGCAAATAAAAGGTCTCTCTGTTTCTCTGTCTCTGTCCCTGTGCTTTTCAAATAAATAAAAATAAATGAAGGGGGCCGGCGCTGTGGCATAGCAGGTAAAGCCGCTGCCTGCAGTGCCAGCATTTCATATGGGCACCAGGTGAGTCCTGGCCACTCCACTTCTGATAGTGCTCTCTGCTATGGCCTGAGAAAGCAGTAGAAGATGGTCCAAGTCCTTGGGCCCCTGCACCCACGTGGGAGACCTGGAGGAAGCTCCTGGCTCCTGGTTTCAGATCGGCGAAGCTCCAGCTGTTGCGGCCTTCTGGAGGGTGAACCATTGGATAGAAGACCTCTCTCTCTCTCCCTCTATCTCTCTGTAACTCTGCCTTTCAAATAAATAAATCTTTAAAAAAAATAAATGAGGGGCTGGTGCTGTGGCATAGTGGGTAAATCTGCTGCCTGCAGTGCTGGCATCCCATATGAGTGCCGGTTCAAGTCCTGACTGCTCCACTTCCGATCCAGCTCTCTGCTATGGCCTGGGAAAGCAGTGGAAGACGGCACAAGTCCTTGGGGCCCTGTACCCATGTCAGAGACTCGGAAGAAGCTCCTGGCTCTGGCTTCAGATCAGCACAGCTCCAGCCATTGCGGCCAACTGGGGAGTGAACCAGAGGATGGAAGACCTCTCTCTCTCTCTTTCTCTCTCTCCCTCTCTCTGCTTCTCTGTAATTCTGCCTTTCAAATATTTAAATAAATCTTAAAAAAAAAGAGATGGAGTAGCTGGACTCCAGCAGGTGCCCATGTGGAATGCCGATGCTGCAGGCTTTGCCTGCTATACCACAGTACCAGAAAAAATAAATAAATACAAAAATAAATGAATAAAAATGCAAAAGGTTCTGTAGTCAAGTGCTTACAAAAAGATAACAGGCGAAAGCATTTCCATGCAGTGGTTGACACTGCTTGTGACACCTGCATCCCATACTGGTTCAAGTCCTAGCTCCACTTTTGATTCCAGCTCTTCCATTAATGTTCTCCCTGAGAGGAAGCAGGTGATGGCTCGAGTACTTGGATCCCTGCCACCAATATGGTAGACCTACTTTGAATTCCAGGCTCTTGGCATTGGCCTGGTGCAGTGCTGGCTGTTGTGGGCATTTAGGGGGAGTGAACCAGCAAATGGAAGATCTCATTTGCCTTTCTGACTTTCAAATAAATAAAAATAAAAATAAATTAAAAAATAATACATCTCTAGGGGCTGGCACCGTGGCTCACTTGGTTAATTCTCTGCCTGCGGCACTGGCATCCCATATGGGCTCTGGGTTCTAGTCCCGGTTGCTCCTCTTCCAGTCCAGCTCTCTGCTGTGGCCTGGGAGGGCAGTGGAGGATGGCCCAAGTGCTTGGGCCCTGCACCTGCATGGGAGACCAGGAGGAAGCACCTGGCTCCTGGCTTTGGATCGGTGCAGCTCTGGCCATAGTGGCCATTTGGGGAGTGATCCAATGGAAGGAAGACCTTTCTCTCTGTCTCTCTCTCACACTGTCTATAACTCTACCTGTCAAATAAATTTAAAAAAAAAATCTCTTTTTTTAAAAAAAAAATTTATTGACTTATTTGAAAGGCAGAGTTACCAAGAGAGAGACAGACAGAGGTCTTCCATCTGCTGGTTCACTCCCCAAATGGCTGCAATGGCTGGAGCTGGGTTGATCTGAAGCCAGGAGTCAGGAGCTTCCTTCAGGTCTCCCACATAGGTGCAGGGGCTCAAGGACTTGGGCCGTCTTTTGCTGCTTTCCATTAGCAGAAGAGCTGGATCAGGTGCATTAGCAGGGAGCTGGATCAGATGTGGAGCAGCCAGGACTCAAACTGGCACCCACATGGGATGCTGGCGCTGCAGGTACCCACTTCACCACAGCACTGGCCCCAATACATTTCTTATGCTAATGAATCCATTAATTAAAATTTTTGCACTGTTAATATATGCATCAGTCCATTCTTTTGTTATTCTGTAAGCTGGCTGCTTTATTCATTTGAAAATGAACTTACAGACATTCAAAGAGATGAAGTAACTCATCCTTGGTAAATGTTCAGTATGTGGGGAACAGGGGCCTTGCCCATCTTCAGATCTTAAGTGTCCGGTGGGTTTCACCATTTCTTACTACTCTCCTCCCCACACGACTACAACTGAACATTTTATTCCCTATCAAGCAGTGAAGGCATTATTTATTTATTTATTTTTTTAAGATTTGAAAGGTGGAGTGACAGAGAGGGACAGATAGAGAGAGAAGGAGATCTTCTATCTGTTAGTTCATTCACCAGATGGCTACAGCGGCCAGGGCTGGGCCAGGTTAAAGCCAGGAGCCCAGAACTCTATCCAATCTCCCACCTGGGTGGCAGGGGCCAAGTCCTTGGGCCATCTTATGCTGCTTTCCCAGGCACATTAGCAGGAAGCTGGATCAGAAGAACTGGAACCAGCACTCCAATAATGGGATGATGGTTCCAAATGGCTTAACCTGCTACGACACGATGCTGGCCTCTCTACTCAGAAATGAATCTTTCTTCTGCATTCAGTTTGAGACACATGTTTCAGAATTGTAAAAATGAAAGCAGTTTATTCCTGAGGAAAAGCTGGTTTCCTAGTGAAATTATTTATGCTTTCTGTTTCTATTTCCAGCTTGAGCAATTCCGGACCTTGCTTTTTACTTCAGAGGGGGAGAAAGAGAAAAGAATGGTGGACAACTTCCGCCCCCTTCAGCCCCTGATGAATCGCACTGTCCGCTCATCCTTCCGTCATGATTATGTGCTGAACAGACAAGCAATCCCCAAGCCTGAGACCAGCCAAGTGACCCCCTAAGATGTTCATACCTAGGCACTATTTTGCTTTAATACATACTAGCTTTTTAAAAGTTGCTAACTAGATGACTTTAAATGCCTGCATTTAATATTTATAGATATACTCTTCTTCTTTTTAGTCATTTTAAAGTTACTTTCCTTATGAGGTTGGGACATGGAGACAGAACAATAGAAAAATAACTGATTGGTTTACATCAGATAACTTTTAGATTGCCTTTTTATGTGTGAAAGGATTAAGGCCAGGGGAGTTAATTATCATGCCTACTGTAAGCGGCCCATTTGGGAAAGTTTGGTTATCTTTCTAATCCTGATTTCTCTGAAGAGCAGATAAATAGCTTATTTCCAGCTTGGTGAAGTGGAATTTTAGTGTGAGTGACTCCATTTTGATTTGTATCCTGGTCTCTTCAGGCCTAGTGCAAGAGCTTAGTCCAAAACAATGGACTTATGTAATTTTTTTCTTAACCATCCCTCCCTTTTGGTCAGACTCTCATCACCTTAGGGCATTAGTGCTACTGTCAGTTACCATCATCTTGGGCTTCCAGTCTCAACACATCATTCATTCATAGGTTAGATGGGCATTTCTTGGTATGAGAATGCTTCATTAGTCTTTGAAGAAAGCTATACAAATTATTTTCTTGAAAATGATGTTTATCACTGAAATACCAGCTAGAGATGCAGATTTCTGATACAGCAACTTGTTAGTAATTATAATATCTTTTTAAGTCTGACACTTTTGAGCTATCTTTTTATGTTTATTAATCAATGGTTCTAAAGAGTTATAAGTAGGGCTTATAATCAAAATGTTTAACAACTGGTAAAGGCACAGACACTGACCATGCAGAACACAGCTTTTCAGAAACGGCCATGGGGCCCAGACTGGTACTTCCTGACTGAATACTGGCCAAGTTTTAGATATATTTTATTTTAAAACAAGAACGCGTATTCTTTTATAAGAGTTTCTCAATGAACATGTTATCTCTAAGATTTAGTTATCATTAATAGTACATGATATACTTATGTATGATCAATTTATGATGTAGAAAGTATGTTTTGTAGTACTAATAATCAAACAAGGACTTTTACTATATCTGGAAATCCTTTAGCACTTCTGGTGATCTGATAATTTGCTTAAAAGCTTGATCATTTAGAAGGCATATGGAAAACACTTTAAAGAAAATGCTGCTTAAAGTGCCTAGAATTTAGAATTCTTTTGTGGTATATTTAACAGAAATGCTTGTCAAAGGACTGCTAATCTAACAGTTTATCTCTTAGAGTATTATTTTGCATTATTTGTATACTATTACATAGTACATAATTTTAGTATTTCCACAATGACAGAACTAGTTTAGCTTCCCTTTAAAAGTTTCTAAACTGTTATTTAATCATTAGCCAAGATTCTTTACAAGGAAAGTGATAAATTTAACCTCTCAGTTTCTATAGTAGATTAGAAGGCTTTTGTTACAGTAACTGAGAGAGAAACTTGTCAGATAGGCTAAACTCTAGATAATTCCACATATCCTATGCCACTGTTGCGCTTATAAATATCATGGAATGTTTCCAACTGTCTCTAAGCTTGTGTTCAGACTCAGTGTTGCATTAATAGTAGTATTTCTTTCATTACTATGCTAGTCATCTGGTCTACAAATTAGGGCTTGATGAATATACTTAACATTACTGAACTATTCACTTGAAGATGGTTAAGATAGAAATGGGATTACATCAGACTTATAAACTGTTACATAGGCTGAGTGGTTAGCCTAGCAGCTAAGATATCCATGTCCCATATTGGAGTACCTGGGTTTGATGTCCACCTCAAGCTTCTGACTCCAGCTGTCTGCTAATGCAGACCCCAGAAGTATCATATAATATCTGGGTTCCTGAAACCCACTTGGGAGAACTGGATTGAGTTCCATGTTCCCAGCTTCAGTATCCAGTGTTGTGGATGGAGAAGTGTGCTCTCAATCTTTCTGCCTCTCAAATAAATAAATACACAATTTAAAAAATGTATCAGTTATATGTGGGGGAGGGACTGGCATTGTGGTATAGTGGGTAAAGTGGCCACCTGCAATGTTGGCATCCCATTGTGGGTACCAGTTTGAGACCTGGCTGTTCCACTTCTAAGATTTCATTTGTTTACTTGAAAGTCAGAGTTACAGAGAAGCAGAGGCAGAGGCAGAGAGAGAGAGGTCTTCCATCTGCTGGTTCACTCCCCAGATGGCTGCAACAGCTGGAGCTGGGCCGATCCGAAGCCAGGAGCCAGGAACTTCTGGGTCTCCCACTTGAGTGCAGGGGCCCAAGGATTTGGGCCATGTTCTACTGCTTTCCCAGGTCATAGCAGAGAGCTGGATCAGAAGTGAGGCAGCCAGGACTTGAACCAGTGCCCGTATGGGATGCCAGTACTACAGGTGGCGGCTTTACCCGCTACGCCACAGCGCCAGCCCCGGCTGTTCCACTTCTGATCCAGATCCCTGCTAATGGCCTTGAAAAGCAGCAGAACATGGCACAAGTGCTTAAGTCCCTGCTACCCATACAGGAGACCTGGAAGAAGCTCCTGGCTCCCAGATCCTGACTTCAGCCTGGCCCAGCCCTGGCCATTATGACCATCTGGGGAATGAACCAGTAGATGGAAGAAGATCTCTCTTTCTCTCTCTCCCTCTGTCTAACTCTGAATTTCAAATAAATAAGTAAATCTTTAAATAGATAAATAAATCTTCAAATAAATAAGTACATCTTTACAATGTGGATGAACCTTGAAGACATTGTACTAAGTGAGATAAACGTCAAGGACAGTGGGTTTGGTGCAATGGTTAAGTCACCGCTTGGGACACTTGTATCCCGTATTAGATTGCCTTGTGTGATTCCCGGCTACTCTACTTTTGACCCACCTTCCAGCTAATGCAAACCCTGGGAGCCAGGTCCCTGCCACCCAGGTGGTAGACCTTCATTGAGTTCTGGGGTCCTGGCTTTGGCCTTGCTCAGCCCTGGTTGCTATGGGCATTTGGAAGATAGAAGATCTATCTCTATCTGTATCTCTACCTTTCAAATGACAATAAATAAAAATTTTAAAACTTAAAAAAAGTAGAATACCTTAAAATTTTTTCTGCTTGTCAAAGAAGGCAATCTATAAAGTAAAAAAATCATTTATAGAATAGAGAAGATAATTACAAATCATATATATGATAAAGGATAGATATTCAGAATATATAAGGAACTTCCATAACTCAAGAGGAAAAAAGCAAATAACCTGATTTTAAAAATGGACAAAGGAGCTAAACAGACATTTCTCCAAAGAAGATGTACAAGGGGCAAATAATCACATGAAAAGATGCTCAGCATTACTAATTATTATGGAAATGTAAATCAAAACCACAATGAGATATCATATCGCAGCCCTCATGATGGCCACAGTCAGAACAAAAATTAATAAGTGTTGGCAAGATGTGAAGAAATTAGAACCCTTGTGCACTGCAGGGTGTGAATGTAAAATTGTGTGGCCATTATGGAATACAAAATTTATTCCATTTTGCAAAAAAGTATTTGATTCAGCGATCTCACTTCTGGGTATATATCCAAAAGAATTCAAAGCAGGAACTTAAAGAGATACTTGCATGCTGATGTTCATAGCAGCATTATTTATAATAGTCAAGAGGTGGAAGCAGCCCAGATGTCATGTCAGCAGATAAAAGGATAAAGAAAATGTGGGGGCCGGTGCTGTGGTGTAGCAGGTAAAGCTGCCGCCTGAAGCGCTGGCATCCCATATGGGCACCGGTTTGGTTTGAGACCCGGCTGCTTCACTTCCAATCCAGCTCTCTGCTATGGCCTGGGAAAAGCAATGGAAGATGGCCCAAGTCCTTGGGCCCCTGCACCCGCGTGGGAGACCCGGAGGAAGCTGCTGGCTCCTGGCTTTGGATTGGTACAGCTCCAGCCATTGCAGCCATCTGGGGAGTGACCCAGCAAATGGAAGACCTCTCTCTCTCTCTTTCTGCCTCTCCTTCTCTCTCTGTGTAACTCTGACTTTCAAATAAAATAAACAAATCTTAAAAAAAGAAAATGTGTACACACACACACACATACACACACAGAAGAATATTATTTAGCCTTTAAAAAGGAAATCCTGTAAAAGGTACAACGTGGATGAACCTTGAAGACAGTGTACCAAGTGAAATAAGCCAGTCACAGAAGGATACAAACTGTAGGATTCCACTCCTATGATGTCTATGAGTGAATTTTTGTTAGTAGATACAGAGTTTCAGTACTGTATAATGAAAAAGTTCTAGAGATCTGTTGAATGTGATTATATATATATTTTTTGACAGGCAGGAGTGGACAGTGAGAGAGAGAGACAGAGAGAAAGGTCTTCCTTTGCCGCTGGTTCACCCTCCAATGGCCGCCGCGGCCGGCGTGCTGCAACCAGCGCACCGTACTGATCCGATGGCAGGAGCCAGGTGCTTCTCCTGGTCTCCCATGGGGTGCAGGGCCCAAGCACTTGGGCCATCCTCCACTGCACTCCCTGGCCACAGCAGAGAGCTGGCCTGGAAGAGGGGCAACCGGGACAGAATCCGGCGCCCCGACCGGGACTAGAACCCGGTGTGCCGGCGCCGCCAGGTGGAGGATTAGCCTAGTGAGCCACGGCGCCGGCGAATGTGATTATATTTAACACTACACTTAAAACTGCTAAGATGGTAGATTTCAAAGAATGGTAAAGATGAAAATTTTACCACAATTAAGTAAAAATTTAGTAGCAAAAAAAGATAGGGTTGGATTTCTATGTATAAATTTGGGGATGGGGCCAGTGCTGTGGTATAGCAGGTAAAGCTGTTGCCTGCAGTGCTGACATTGCATATGGGCACCAGTTAGCGTCCCAGCTGCTCCATTTCTGATCCAGCTCTCTGCTATGGCCTGGGAAACAGTAGAATATGGCCCAAGTCCTTGGGCCCCTGAACTCAAGTGGGAGACCCAGAAGAAGTTCCTGGCTCCTGGCTTCGGATCGGCACAGCTCTGGCCGTTGCAGCCATCTGGGGAGTGAACCAGCAGATGGAAGACTTCTCTCTGTCTCTGCCTCTGCCTCTCTGTAACTCTGCCTTTCAAATAAATAAATAAATCTTAAAAAAAAAGATGGGAACTTCTTACTATCTTGATTTTTACAGATGAGAAAATTTAGGAGTAGATGTAAGGAATATATTTAAGATCCTACATAGCCAATTCCCAATCGATTATATTCCAAAGCTTGTCTCCAATTACTGACACACTGAGCTGGACAAGGTCAACTTGAAGAAGGGGAACAGGTGTTATTCTAAATGTCTCAGTAGGAGGCAGTAGGGCAGGAATTATGCCAGATTTGCACATCAGATGGGTGATTCTAAGGAGGGGCTGGGGGGAAACAGGCAATTTAGTAATTAGGTATCTCAGCAATTTTAATTTGAAGGAGACAGGAACAAAGCTAAGTCAGGGACATTATTCAGTCACTCAAAAAAAATGGGAGAAGTTACTTTGCTGCTGTAATGTGTACTTGAGAGAAACATTTTTTCTTGGCCTTATACATGGGCCTTGTATGTGAACATCACAGTCCAAATATTAGTAGAGCTAGTTTTCACCTTCTCAATCCTCACTTTCATTGTCATAGTGTAATTCCTCATCACTTTGTACGTAGATTATTGTGATACTGTATTGCAGCTTTATCTTTTAATCCTTTACACTACAAACCACAATAATTTACCTAAACCACAAAAGGGGTCACAACAGGCCACTACCTAAAAGCGTTCAAGAGTCCCCCATTACACAGAACAAATCTAAGTGCCTTAATATGGCATATCATTCCTAGCCCCAGACTATCTCTACGGCATTATTCCTTGATACTCTGGATTTGCAGTTTATATTGGATTGTCAAAATTCCTTCTGTTCGTATTGATGACTGCTACACCTCAGCAAGGGGCTTCGGCAACCTTTGATGCCATTTCCAAGACCTAGAGTTATCTGACCCCTGAGCTGTGCAGTGTTCACCAAGCCTCACTACCAAGAATTCACTGACTCTTGTAAAGAACCACACCAGAGCGTCTGTGCGAGGACCCAGGCTCTAGCTGTGGCTACACCAGAAAAACAGTAAATTAAGCCTGTTTGAAAAAAAATATCTTGCTGTTCTCAGAATATTATCAGTCCCTTTGCTTACTTAGTCTGATCTGCTTGCAACC